TAGCTGTGGCTAATGATTGCAGAACTATATTGAATAGGAGTGGTGATAGAGGGCATACTTGTCTTGTACCAGATCTAAAAGTAAAAGATTTCAGTTTTTCCCCATTTAGAATTATGTTAGCCTTGGGTATTCATAAATGGCTTTTACCAGATTGAAATAGAGGCCATCTATTCCAATTTCCTTTAGGACTTTCAACATGAATGAGTGTTGCACTTTTTCAAAAGCCTTTTCTGAATCAATGGAGATGATCATGTGGTTTTTAGTTTTTGCTCTATTGATATAGTGTATTACATTTATATATTTTTGAATACTGAACCATCCTTGCATCCCTGGGATGAATCCTACCTGGTCATGGTGTATAATTTTCTTGATGATTTGCTGTATTCTATTTGCTAGGATTTTGGCATCTGTGTTCATGAGTGAGTTTGGCCTGTAGTCTCTTTCTTAGTTCTGTCTTTCCCTGGTTTAGGTATCAGTATAATACTTGCCTCCAGGAATGATTTTGGGAGGATTGCTTCCTTTTCAGTTTCACTGAAGAGTTTGAGGAGTATAGAGACTACATCTTCTGCAAATTTCCTGTAGAATTCAGTTGTCAATCCATCCAGACATGTAGTTTTCTTTGTCCGTAGGTTTTTTATTACATCTCATATTTCATTGGCTCTTATTGGGCTATTGAGAGTGGTTATATCTTGTCGATTTAGTTGTGGTAATTTTTACCCCTCCAGGAATCTGTCCATTCCATCTATGTCTAGTATTCTGTGAGAGTAAAGATTCTCGAAGTAGCTACTGATAACTTCTGAATTTACACTGGGTCTATGGTAATTACACCTTATACCTTTTTATCCCTTATTGCTTGTATTTGAAATTTTCTTTCCTCTTTTTGATGAAGTTAGCTAGGGGCTTATCGATTTTGTTTAATCTTCTGAAGAACTAGCTTTTTGCTTTTTTAATTGTTTGAATTGTTTTCTTTGTATCATTTGAATTAATTTCTGCTCTGGTCTTTATGATTTCTTCTCATTTTTGGCCTCTGGGTTTGGTTTGCTCTTCCTTTTCTAATTGTTGATAGTGCAGCATTAGGGTATTTATTTGTTCCTGTTCTGTTTTCCTAATGTGTGAGTTCACAGCTATGAATTTCCCTCTGAGAACTGCTTTCATCATATCCCATAAATTCTGATGAATTGTGCTTGAATTTTCATTAAATTGTAGATATTTTTGAATTTCTTGTTTAATTTCATCTGTGACCCATTGGTTGCTAAGTAGGGTGTCATTTAATTTCCATGTATTTAGCTTTTTTTCTGATTTCTTTTGCCATTTATTTTCAGTTTCATTGCACTGTTGTCAGATAATATGCATGGAATAATTTCTGTTTTCTTGCATATACTTAAGCATGACCTATGGACCAGTATGTGGTCTATTTTAGAAAATGACCCATGTGCAGCTGAGAAAAATGAATATGTGTATTCATCTGTGTTTGGGTTGAACACTCTGTATATGTCCACCAAGTGCATTTGTTTTAAGCTGTGGTTCATTTCTGTTATTTCTTTGCTAATTTTTTGTCTGGTTGACCTATCTTTTTGCAATAAGGGGATGTTAAGTTCTCCTGTTAAGGTTGTGGTATTGGATATTAGATTTTTCATGTCCATTAAGATTTGCTTTATATAGTTGGGTGCTCCCGTGTTTGATGCATACATATTTATGAGTGTAACCTCTTCCTTTTGAATTTTTCCCCTAACCAGTATATAGTGGCCTTCTTTATTTCACTTGATCATTGTTGGTTTGAAGTTGAGACTGTCTGAGAATAGGATTGCTACCCCTGCTTTTTTCTGAGTTGTTGTGGCATGTAGTATTGTTTTCCATCGTTTGACTTTCAGCCTATGAATGTCTTTACGAGTTAAATGTGTTTCTTGTATACAGCATATTGTTGGATTTTGTTTCCTAATCCACTGTGTCAGTGTATTTCTCTTAATTGTTGAATTGAGTCCATTTACATTGATGGTTAGAATTGAGATGTATTGACTTATGATTGACATGTTATTTACCTGTTGTCGTTTACTCCTTTTTCTCCTGTGTTTAAATGCTTGCCCTATTTAGTTGGTAGCTTCTGATCTCATTCATGGAGTTCTGATCATTTTGGTCCCTCTCTAGAATATCTTTCAGTAGCCTGTGTAGAATTGCCTTTGTCATCATGAAATTCTTTAGCTGTTCTTTGTCCTGAAAATATTTCACTTCTTCATCAAACTTGAAAGAGAGTTTTGCAGGATATCGTAGTCAGGGCTGGAATTTGTTTTCATAGAGGACTTGAAGTACTCTACTCCGTACTCTTCTTGCCTTCATGTTTTGTGAAGAGAAGTCAGCCGTAATTCTGATGGGTTTTCCTTTGAATGTGATCTGCTTCTTTTCTCTAGCAGCTTTCAGTATTTTATTCTTGTGCTGAGTTTGTGGGATCCTGACTATTATATGTCTCAGTGTTTTTTAAATTAGGTTGAGGTTACTTGGCATTTTGTATGCTTTGTTTAACTGAATGTCATATTGTTTCCTCATATTTGGAAGTTTTCTGCTTTTGCTTCTGCCCATATTTTTTTTAATGTCATTTGTATTGACTCCTTCTTTCTCATTGATGCCTATTAGTCTCACATTCTTCATCTTTGCATCATCTTGCAAGTGATGGATTATTTTTTCCTTCATTGTAGATGTTTTCAAGTGATCCTTTCTTACCTTTTCACTAGCTGCACCAGCGTGTTCAAGATCTGAAACTGTCTTCACTTTCACTTTGACTCTGCTTCATGCGATCTATTTGTTTCCTGTATTGCTTATTCAAGGAATCCGTTATTTTTCTAATGTCCTCTATTTTTTTTATCAATGTCTTCTTTAGAAGCAGTTATTAATTCTTTTAGTGCAGTGTTTTCTTCAGATTGGGTTTCCTTCCTATGTTTCTGTAGTTGATTTTTTTACTTCAGATGCTATGAGTTCTGAGAATTCTTTCATTATTTCAGAAAATTCTGCTCTGAGTTCCTCTATAACTTTCTGCTATTGCTGATTTGCTATCAACACTATTAATTCATAGATTTGTCCTGAGCTAGTGTCCTCTGCACTTGTTCTGGGTGGGCATTGGTTTTCTTCCATATGTTTCTGCATTTGATTCTTTAGTGCAGATGTTATTAATTCAGGGATTTCTTTTTTCATTTCCAATCTGAGTTCCTCTATACCTTTCTGCAGTTGTTTCTTTATTTCAGAAGCCATTGATTCATTGCTTTCAGCTATGTGATTTGCAATTTGTTCTGTGTTAGTGTCCTCTGCACTTATTATGGGTGGGCTTGGGTTCTGAGGTTGCATTTTGCTCCTTCTCATTGTCATTTTGTGTAGCACTGTCTTCTGACCTTGTTGTAGAGCTTTGGTGCAGTTACAACCTTAGCACATCCTGTAGTTCAAGTGCAGATCTACAAAGTTTGGATTTATCCAGTTGTGCCTGGCTTGGGTCTGGCTGCTGTGCTCAGCTTCTTCCTGCTGCTGCCCTTGGGGGTGAACCTGTTGTGCCTTTCTGGCAAGATGTTCTTCTGCTGGACTAGCTGTGTGGCTCTGTCCCCTACTCTATCCGCAGGGATTGAAGCTGCAGGGTTTCACCCCAGGCCTGTATACCAGGCCTGAGCTGAGTCTGGAGGGGACACTTTGCAGTGCGGGGGGAGGCAGCTCTCTCACACACTCACCAGGCCTGGTCTAGGACTGGATCTGGGGGTTCCTGGAACGCGGCACAAATTCTTATTTAGTGGGCAGGGTGGGGGCTGCTGCTGATTGGTGGGGGGTGTTCCAAGGGGGTGGAAGAGGGTCTCACTCATGATGCACATGGGCTGGGCCCGGCAGGTCCTGCTGGTGCAGCGTAGCCAGAAGCTCTCCCTCACACTCACTGGCCCTGATCTAGGCCTAGATACGGGGGTCTCTAGAGCATGGTAGAAATTCTCACACAGCAGGCGTGGTTGGGGGTTGCTGTGGAGTGTTGGGGTGGTCCCAAGGGGGTACAAGCAGATCTCACCCATGCTTCACCTGGGCTGGGACCAGCAGGTCCCGCTGGCGCAGGATAGCCAGAAGCTCTCCCACCTGGCTTTACTTTTTATACCTTGTGTATATGCTTTTCTGCTGGATGGTTAAGACTAAGATAAAACAAGACCTATATAACAAGAAGTGTAACTTTTGTATCTGACAAAGTCAGTTAAATCCCCTCAGCATTTACCCTGAAAACATGTACAACAGTGTGTATATCCTTTGTCAGTGTCAGCTATGTTGATGAGTCATGGCAATTGCTTGACCAATTTGCTATCTGTGAAAGACTGAGAAAATGTTTTCTCCCTAGGTGACTCTCCTTAGGCACCCTCTACATCATCAGTCATGTTCGTCTGTGGCCCCGTAATCTCCTTGATCAGAAAATGTGGGACACCACTGAGTTATAGGATGTTCAGTACAGGTTCTCCTGTGTCCTGAGTCCTCACTGGCCTTAAAGAGCTAGGGCCAAAATTTTGGCTATCCTTTAGCCCTTCTTTTTAATTTTTTGGTCTGAAAACTTAAGTTGTTAACCCTCCAGAAGAGAAACTTCATGATATTATTACCCTACATCATAGGCTGTTGAGCTTAACATCACTATCTGTCTGAATATCAAATCCCTTAGGATATAACATGGCACAGGTATTTTCCAACAATTGTTGATATGCTAAACTTTAAATCCTTATTGAATGTGAAAAAAAGTAAAAAAATAAGCAATTACAAATTTTTAAACAGAAATTTAGAAATCTACCCATACATAACTTTGTAGTGAGATCACTATGTATCCAATAGAAACATAGAAATCCTATAAAAGTGAAGAAGATCACGAATACCTACTTCAAAAATATTTAATCTCACAGGATGGAAAATACAGAATAAATTACAGATTTCCAGATGCATATGAATTACTAAAGGTGAATCATGAAAATACAAAAATTCAGAGTAACTCAAAATCAATGAAACTGAAAATGTAATTAAGATCTCATTGTATTGGACTAGAATTTTTAAGGATTTTCTTCATTCCATGACTTCTGCTAACCTTCTGCAGAACTCTGGAGCAGAGATTTCAAAGCATGTTTTGCACATTTCAAGGTTATATCTTGCTGAATAGATTTCTGTCTTTATATGTAGCTGTATTACCTTATTTTTTAAACTTATTTTTTTGTTCTCTCAGCTACACTTATATGGACAATGTAATTGTTACCATTTTAAAGAAAATGATCAAATACCTGATTATTTTTATTTGTTCCTATAGGTTAAATTGCATTTCCCACTGGATTTTCCTAAGGATTTAGTCATCAAATATCACACTGTGATCAGTCCACTGGATGGAACAGAACCTGGAACAGAACCAGTCTTTGAAGGGAGCAGTCTCCAGATTAGACATGAAGCTGGGGTGAAGTTAAAGCACCCATGACATGAAGCTTGTTGAGCTGTGGCAAAGGGAGAAAAGATCTGGGACTCATAATATTATCCTGGTTTCCAGAATTCAAGGAGGTTGTTTCCATGTTGATGATGAATGGGCCCTCCTGGGTTCAGGAGATATTCAGGTGAGCAATAAATGGAGAGGAACAATCAAAGAAGAGAGTTTTGTCCTATTACAAAGGATAAGTGGCCTGAGGTATAAATAAGGAGACTGACAGACTCGAGGCCACTTTAGGAAGAGGCCTGGTGGAGAGGTGATGGCTCAGTGCTCATTTCCATAGCAGCTCATTGCCCCAAACCACTTTTCAGTAACACATAAGTGATTTTCTTCCTGAAGACATTGTCCTTGATATCCAGGGCCCACACTACCTCATCCCTGATCTCAGACTCTCAATCCCCTGTCTCAGGTGTGAGCCCCTCCTAACCCAGCGTGTAGAGGAGGTGGTCAGCACTCTGTGGGATGAATGCTCACAAGGCATGTTCTCGTGTTCCTCAGGAAGAGTTGATCTCAGGGGAGCTGTGTTAGATTCTTGGGTCACATTCACTGTGAAGAAAAAGTTCATCCTGATCATGCATCGGTGTTGGAAATTTCATTCTATTAACATCTAAACATGCAAATAGACATTTTAGTAACAGGAAATTGGAAGAGCCTCTGGGGCACAGAAAACACCCTATTGACATGTGAGAAGACCTTCACTGGCAAAGCAGGAATTGCCAACACGTAAGCCGCTGCACTTCTGAAGATCACAGTGAAGTGTTCATGCCAACAGAACCTCACTGAACATCTCAGCTCTCATCTTCAACAACAAGACAGTTTTCCCACTTTTGTTCTTCTCCCTTAACTAGATGTTCAGGGAATGACTGTCACAGAATCAAGTTGTTGTCTTTTAATCCTATTTCTTCTATTATCACTATAAGCTTTACATTTGTTCATAACCAAGTCTGGTTACATGAATCTAGACTGTGGACTCTCCATATTGAATAATTAATGAGGACTCTCTGAATGCTTTCCTTTCTTGACCACTGAAGAGAGGTCAAGGCAAGCACATGGTAAGCTGCACTGCAACGTGAACTGCGCACTCCACTGATTCCACTCTCCAACATACCATTTTTGTAGCTCTTCATCCAGATCAGGCCTGTGGTCACGGCAAGAAATAATCCCAAGACAGATAGTATCTTCCATGAAAAACTCATCTTGGACTCTGAAAGGAAAACCCTAGAATTTCAGTGAGCCATGAAACTGGAGAAACATCAATACTGTCCCTTTAATTTGAGCAGCTCCCAGGAAAGTAAGAAGGAGCCTCTCAGGGAGGCAACTGATCTACTGCCGTGTAGACACTGAAGAACCGCTGTAAGGTCTCGGCTAGTTTTTGCGTGCTCCTCTCAGGCTTGTGCACATGTATGAACACATGGCACAGCTGTCTCTTTTCCTTATCAACTGTCACATAACCAGTGGAATAGCTAAGGTGGCAAAAGAGTAGATTTACTCAGGCCATAGCCAAGAAGATGGTGTAGGAGACAGTTTTTAATCTGGAAAAAAATTCACCAAGAGGAACAAAAACTTTCTACTCTTGTTTTCACATAAGTAGTGAGTGTAGATCTTGTAAACTAGAGTCAGTGATTGGAATTTAGTGCATTCCCAACAATGAGTGCATCTTTGGAGCTCTAGTTGGGAACACGAATGAGAAACTCAGCAGAGCGGGGTTCCTAGGAGTCCTTTAGACCAGATTAACAAGATGTAGCCAAATATTAAATCAGAGTGAAAATATGTGTTTAAATTGTAAAGCAGAGCAATAAAATGAGGAAGTCTGAATTGCGCTGATGTTTAATTCCGGTCCTGAAGGAACATACAGAATCACCAACCTGAGAGAGCAACAGCTGCTGTTTTCTCCTGACCCAGGGGGAGGTTGCTGATGGCACAGGTCACGTTTACCATGGAGCTGTTTGTGACCAACAGAAATGACTCCACGTGGAACAGCCCTTGGCTGCCCTGACGCAGGGCTGCAGGGGTCGATGGCATCGTTCTTCCTTCTGTGTCCCTCCACTGCACTTGGGGAGGTGGGAACCACCCGCTGGAAGTGCACACCAGCTGTCTTACTCCATCCTTCTGCCGCTCCATGGTGATGAGTGGGGCAGAACCCACGGCTGGGAACAGAGAACAAGGAAGCAAAGCCTGGGGCCCCTGCAAGTGGTCGTGAGGTTGTGATGTCACTGAGAGGGGCAGCCGTAGGGCTTGGGGCTGCAGTAAGCATGAGGGGCCAGGACCTTCCATTTGGAGAGGAGAGTGGGCTTTTCTTTTTTTGTTGTTGTTGATATTGTTTGCATTTCTTTTTCTTTATTCCTAAGTCATCCTGGGATGGAGTCAGAGGCAAATTAAAACTTTAACTCGCAAGTTTATCTTCTGTCTCTGAGAGCAAAATAACTTTTCAACAGAGCATGGATCATGTAGACACAATAAAAGAGTGAAAGAATAATCTCAAAGACCAAAGTCATAAATAGCCGTGTTTGATAGCAGAAAATGAGAGGGCCCACTTGACATCTCAACATGTGCTCCTGTGTATATTCCTCAAATATACTAATTTGGACTCAAAATTCATGTAAGACGTGTATGAAGTAGCCAAATGATCTAATGCTATGTCCTCAGTGATGTTTGCACAATTTGGAAACTGATCCTAGGGAGTGATTTTCTCTTTCCTCCTCTGTTCTTGCCAAGATTGTCACTCTTTAAGATTTTTATTTACATTGTGGATATAATTTGGTCTTCAAATTATTATACTCGCTGGTAATTATATATATTTTCCAGAATTTTAATAACAAGTTGTGAGATAATAAGTCTAATAAAAAATATGAACTAAAAGTCTTAGTCTTCCTAAATATAGGTCACTTCGTGCAGATGTTCAAAAAGATACAAGTTATATATGTAAAGAATTAAGTTTAGTTCATTTTAGTTTGTGGACTTAAAGTATCTGTGATAGTTCCTGCTTACTGGAGGTTCAATAGAATATTGACAGTGAATAAAAATTAAGAAAATTTCAGATGACAGAGACATTTTCTAGGAACAAACATGTTCATATGGTAGGAACAAGTGTTGGATCCAAAACACCGGTCTGGAATCCTTACCTACCACCTTCAGATCCAAGCTGGCCTCTTGGTAGACACCGTCTTCTGCAAACAGGCACCGGTACTGCCCATCATCTGAAGCTCTGGCATCGTGGATCTGCAGGGTCAGCCTCCCCTCGTGGATGCCGTCACCCACCAGTGAGGTCCTCCCTCTGTATTCCAACATCTGCTCTCCGGCCACGTGGTCCCCATCCTTGTACACATGGACTGCAGGGTACCAAAGGGATTGCACCCACCTCACCTCCATGCTTTGGGCATCAGTCTCAGGGGACAAATAGCAGGTTATTTGTATGTCTTCTCCCACTCGGACAAGGGTGGGCTGGGAAGGTCCAATCACTTTTAGGGAAGCTGTTAAATATGCAGACAACAAAACAGATGAATCAAAATGAAGTAAATAACATCAGCAAGGTCTGGTGAGATGGCTGTGGTCTAAAGCACCTACTTAGAACAAGCTAAGCTAAGCAAAGCACAGGGACCGTGGTTCAATCCCCCAACACCATATGCCAGCCAGCCCCACCCCCTGGTGGGCTGAGCTGGCCACACACACAAAATAAATAAATAAATAAATAAATAAATAAATAAAAATTAAAAAAATGTTTAAAAAATTAACATCATCAAGGTTGTCTGTGGTGAGGATTTGAACCCATGAGCATCCCAGGGGAGGTCTGACACTCAAGGACAACCCTTGGACAGACAGGCATCTCATAGACTCAGGAAAGAAGTTGCCCTTGTTCAAGGATATAGATTTGCGAGATGTAAGGGCAACGAAGCCAGTCCCACTCTGATTTGATCACGGTCAAAGGCTAAGACAACGTCAAGTATGTCTTAGGAGATGAAGAAACCTTCCTCAGAGTATTTCTAAATCAGATCTAGCCTTTATGTTTCATGTTGTCAAGGTTCCTTGTGTGTAGACTTATAAGCAAAACTAAATTTAACATTCTGAGATAACCTAGAAGAATATTTTAAGAGATAGAATTGGGAGGTTGGCAAAATACAGATTGGGAAAAATAGTCTATATTCAAAAGGAGTCTAATCCTTTCACTGAGGCACACTGTTCTCCCCTCTATCTGACAGCAGAGGGAAGCTCAGTCTCTCCACCTTGGTTCTTGTGGTCCCAGAAGACATCAAACTTAGGAAAAACACATCGTGGGGTGTATTTTATGTTCTTAGTCTGCGATGGGCACATCCAGCTGGCTCAGCTCAGTGGATGACTCTTTGCCTAAAATCTCCCTGAAGGACAGAGACCTGTGTCAACCTGGCCCAAACACCGGCTTGGCTTCCTGGCCTGTAACTAGCAAGCGCTACCAGCAAGGTTTCTGTCCCATCAGGCACCTCTGCTGCACCAGGCAGAGGGATCCTACTGGAAGGGGAAAGCCTCGCAGGCTGTGCCTCTCCTGAGGTTGGTCAACCATCTTTGACCTTCCTGAGGCCGTTCCCTTTATATTTATGGCCCAATGAGTTCAAAGGTGTCATGCTGGAGTCTTGTGGAGATGGGAGTGTTTGTTACTATCTCTGATTATCTTAAAAGCTCCTACGTGGGCTGAAAGGTTGCTTATGCTCACCTAACACGCATGTACTAGGCCCCCAGCTCTCCCCAGCTCCCTAACAGGCGACTGCCGGACAACAGGGTCCTGATGAAGCAGGAGCTGACTTATCCAGCTCGAGTGTATCTGAGCAGGGAACAGGTGGGTTGCCACAGGCTGGGAGGGAAGCCCTGGAGACAGGACAGAGAAGCTGGTAAAGGAGGAACCGAAAAGGGTTCAAACACCAGCTGGTTAGTTCTGTAACTGCTTATCTTAGGCACAGTAAATCAGTATCTGCAGTATAATAAAAAGGTAGAATAAATAAGTAAAAAACAAATAAAAGCCACACAAAGCATGGAAAAGCGATCAATCCGTGGCATCATTCTAGGCTATACCTAGAAATGGCTCCCACTTCATGATAAAGTTAAGAGTCTACTCAGGTGAGAGGCAGGGGCAGAATCTCTCAGGACCGGAGTGTGTAGGTGGGGGGGGGACCTCCAGGTACCACTGTGACACTTCCTTCCCTCCCTCTCCCCCTCCCTCCCTCCCAGGACGGGTGTTCTGAAGGGGCCCCAGGACTCCTCACACATGCTGGAGGTAGTTTCCTTTTCTCTCTCCACACAGGCCAGAGGTAACGGCTGTACTCCTCATAGGCACCCAGGGGAGTGAGTCCCTGTGGTTACACTGGGGAAAGCTCTGATGACCGCTGTGAAGATCTGAGCTCCTCCAGGACCCACTCCAGGACCCAAGCACTGCCTCAGGTTCTCATCTGGGTCTGGAAATCTCTACTAAGTCCAAGAACTCCGCCCTCCTGTGGAGCAGGCAAGGTGCCACCTGGTGCTCGCTGGGGCGTCCTGCTTACCCATCTCAGTCCGCAGCTTCTCTGGAGGGAAAACAAGAACAACGTATCAGGAGGCTAGGTCTAAAGGAAAGGAGAGAAACTCTAAGAAATAACAGCAAGTTTTACATTTTCCTGAGGACTTCAGTTTAATTAAATATATGAAGTACAGAAAAACATTTTTTCGTGTGATGATACAGCCAGTGCTACAACTTTTTGCTTTTTTTCTGCCTAATAAAAATGTCATTAGTTCTGTCACCCAATAATTTTGGTCGCTGATACTTAATTATCATTTAAAAATAGAAGTGTAAGGAAAGTGTGAAAATACATGAACACAAGCAAGTATGACCCACAATTCTAAGCTCAAAATATATCGGATCTGTTTTCTGAATATTAAAATATAACATTTATTTTTTCTAATTTATCCTTTTATACAAATAAGATATCCAAATATAGAAAGTGTCCTAAGTCTTAGTCCACTTACAAGTTATATAAAGCCAGTAAGTGTTACGTAACTGGAAATGTCTATTTGTAAATAGACGATGCAATCTTTGTATGCTTTGAAGATATCTTCTGGCAGTAAAATTATTAAAAAACATTTTTCATCACCGTTATAATTTTCAGCAACATAAGCAACTTTCCACTATTGTGTGGTATTGGTTCTTTCTGGTTATTGCTTTTGTTGTTATTCATAAATAAGGCAACAACTAAGATGCTGTTCTGCTATATAAATGGCTCTCTTCATCTCTGTTATTGTACGAGAGAGCAGAGGAAGTAACTGGCACCACACAGCACAGGGAAATATTTCTGTTAAAAGATATCTGCAGTGACACGTGTGAGTAGAAAAATCAGTGCAGAAAGAGGAAAGGCAGAGCCTGAGGTAGAGCCTGACGATGACGGAGCAGCATCAAAGCTCCTTGAAATGTCTGTACTTGTAGCTACAGCTGTTTCATGGCTTTACGGGAATGTCTAGCACACTGCTAACTGCCAGGTGTTTTTCCTGATAGGAAACATGAGTTGCGCCTGCTTGGTTGCCCTGAGCTCTCCAGCTGGCCTGTCACCCAAGAGAGCACCGACCTGGGAGGTTGAGGACTGTCCCCTTCCCTTCCTTGAGGATAGGGCTGTGGATGAAGCAGGACACGGTCTCGGTTGCTGCAGACACATCTCCAACCACAAGGGTGTCTTCCACGTGGAAAAGGCCATGGTCATCTGGGATGTGATGCTCTGAGACCGCCAGCAGCCTTTCTCCCCATCTGTCCTCCCAGTAGACCTGGGGCTCTGGGAACCAGCCTTCTGCTGCGCACACAAGCTGGACTCCATCTTCATTCCTGGTGATGTGAATGTTAGGGGCAGACCCCAGTCCTGGGAAGAGAAGGGCCACCCTGAGGCCTGGAGCCCATAGAGACACAAACCGTGGTGGCACTAGGGGTGTGTGTGTGTGTGTGTGTGAGAGAGAGAGAGAGAGAGAGAGAGAGAGAGAGAGGACTGACTCAGGGGTCTGAGGATCAGAAAGTTTTCCAGAGGCTTCTTCCCATTACAAAGGGTGTTCTGATGCACTTCATTTATTCCAGTCTGTATCTTTAAATTTTAGCAGTTGGGCACACTTTCCTTCAGATCCAGAAAGGCAGGAAGAAGACAGAAATAGGAACTTTTTGCTTGTGTCTCTAGTGCTGTAAATGAAGGTGTGCTTAATTGTACCCATGAACCTTTCTCTGAACCGCCCCTTTCCACCTAATTGTGTCCATATCAGGTCATTTGTTTGATGTTTTGAGTCATACCCAGACTTCAACCAAGTGCTTAATACAAATTCAGAAGTTACCTCCATGGGGAATGTTCGTCCCATTTCTTGGTGATTATAATTGGAGCTCACCAGATAAATTGCTTGTGTTCTTCTATTGAAATGGTCCCTTCAATAGGGAAAGTGTTTTGAAAGCACCATTTTGAAATTCTAGTATAATGCAATTTACAGTCATGTTTTTTTTCTCTATTCAACGCTGCAACTCCCACACCCAAGGGGACTATGTTTTCCATAGATGAGAATGTTGTCTTTTTCATTTATGGAGAGAAAGAGACCCACCCCCTTCACCTGGAGCCACAGAAAAAGTTTGGCCTAGTTTTAAACATCCCTAATAAGAAATGCATCGGTTCCCCTTCACCTCTGTCTCAGAAACACATAGGTCCCATCATCCATTTGACTCATCTTGAATGCAGTGACAGTGAAAGTCATGGTTATGGGCATTAGAACATTTTAGAAGTAAACAAAGCAGCAGCATCGGCCAGAGACAGCAACATCCCCTAAAAACGGCTTCCCTGGGAAGGAAAGTGGCTTTGCCTGGTTTTCTCCTCAGCACGCAGCAGAGATCGCTGCTGGGAAACACAGGGTGCCTTACTTTCAGACGCGGTCCCAGAAGGCGGACCCAGTCCTTCATCCCGCTTCCTCCCAGCCCTTCCTGCTCTACGGAATAGCTGTGCGCAGCAATGCCTCGCCTGGGGCTTCCCAAGCACCCAGCGTCCTGGAGCCGCCACCTAGCGCTCTCCCTGAAGGCAGAATGTCCCCCACTCAGCCAGCAACGGCATCACTCAAGGCACTGCAGAGGAGGAGCTGGCTACGGGACAACCGCTTCCATGGAGGTGGGGTGCTGGGCAGGCTGCTGGACCTACTCAGCGGTCAGCTTGCTCTCCCCAACAGTTTTCTGTGGCACAAATTTGTGCCCATGCAAAATTGCTGATGTCCTCATGCTACGGCTTCCAAATTACCCTTAAAGATGGTCAAAATTATGCAAGTTAAACGTGGGAAGTTCTCTACAAGGGAGCTTGCCGTGAAGGTTTTGGAAGCACCTGTTCTTAAGTTGCTCAGAGAAAAGGCCTGAGGGGCTGGCTGCCTAGGTGACTCAGCCACAAATTCCTCCTCCCGCCCAGAGACGCTTAAGTCTTTGCCAAGATATCACCTGCTACTTGGAGCAGCAAGCTTGTTTCTCCAAAAGAGTCCCCATCCTGGAAGCGGCACCAGTACTGCCCGCTGTCGGAAGGCTGGACGTTGCGTATCTTGAGAGTCACGCTTCCCTCGTCAATGCTGTCCTCTATCATCTGTAGCCGGTCCCTGCAGCTTGCCATCTGCACCTCGACCATATCAGTCCCGTCCTGGAGCGCAGGCGCAGCTGCACGGGGCTGGGCATGGTACCATGCCACCTCCATGTGCGCCGCGCTCCTCTTGGGCAGGAGGCGGCAGGTGAGCAGGGCGTCTTCTCCTACCCTGGCCAGGATGGGACCGGCAGGGCCAAGCACTCTAAAGTCATCTGCAAGACAGGAGATGGGGAGAAAGGGAGGGAGGGAGGGAGGGAGGGAGGGGGAGAAGGAGGGAGAGGGGGAGGGAGGGAGAGAAAGAGTCAGGGGCAGCAGCGGGGGCGCTGGCTTTGGGGATCCAGTGTATTAGAAGGGGGCATCCGGAGAAGGCAGAGCTTTATTTTGACATTGTAGAGAAATCCATCATGGTTATTTGCACACATGCTTGTTGAAGAAAGAATCATTTGTATTCTAAATAAAAGCTATTAAAAAACTGGGGCACATATGCCAAAAATGTCACCAGTTTTGTTATTTGGACACAAACTTATTATTCTCAAAGTTTGAAGTTTGGAATCTTAATTTCTTCATCTTTGAGATAGTAAAGCATCATCTCTGTTGTTCTCAAATAAATTAACATACACATTTATGTTATAGTTTGTGGTAGTGGCTAGCTTGTTAGGCATTTTCCTAGAGTTTAGGTATGCATTCTTTTAATAGATTTTCAGCTTTTCAATATCATTTTTGTCCTAGATAAGGAACTGAGATTTTTTTTTTTTCTAGGGAGGTGAAGGTTTCAATGTTTGGGATTATGGACACAGTTGTTTTCATGGGTTAAGGGTTGTGATTAATCCAGAACATCTTCCAATCAAATTTCAAGTCATGTTTAACTTCCCTCCTTGTTACTGGAAAAATGGAACTATTCCACAATTCTAATAATATACTATTATAATAATTTCATGTGTAACATTTGTTATGTTCTGTTTCACTCAAAATGCTCCAGGCCCATTATCTCTCTTTGCAGATTTCAGGCCTCCCGAGACAGAAACTCACCTTCCTTAGTTGCTGCGTAGTGTAAAGTAGATGCCGCTTGACACACATGTATAGAACCTAAGCAAACATCTGCTTGTACTCTTCAGTGACTGAGTCCAAACGTCAGACAGAACTCAGGCTGATTCCCGGGAGGTTCAAGGACTGCAGGAGGTGGCGCAGCTCGGCGTGCCGCAGCTCCTGCAGCACGGAGCCAGGGCCCTTGGGCCCTGCCCAGGCCGACGCCCATGACGTGTTTCTCTCCCACCTCTCCAGGCTGCCCTGCCAGGGCGCTCTACTTTTTCCTTCCCACAGCGAGCTTTTATACTTGTTTCCCAATTACAACTTATTGTGATTAAAGTCGGCTGCGGAGATTTCCGGCTCCACTTCTCAGAAGTGTGTGTGTCTCGCTTCTTACTTCTAAGTATTTTTATGCTGCTAATGGATGCTACTAAGTGGCTGCTTCTCTTGCCCCAAAAGCTTTCTCCTGCATAGAACCAAGTGAATGGATGGTTGCATGTGTTTCCTCCTCTGGTCCTGGTGCAATCTGTGAAAATTTCACCGCCCCTTACAGCCTGTGCCAGCAGAGGAGGCACAGTTGCCATTACTGCCTTTGTCACAAGAAGGACCTGAAGAGCACGGTGCCTAAACTGTGTTCTGGTGCTGAGAGCTGGGAGTGGAAAGCCGCTTTGGAACATGGGTGCTTGGGCCACAGGACCTGCACTCTCAGTTACTGCCCTGGCCCCTGGAGGTGAGGTCGGTGCACCACTGGGGTCACTTGGACATCACAGTCTGCAGTAAAAGGAAGGAGAAGATCCTACCTTGCTGCCTCACGGTCAGCAGGATGAAGATGCAGGAGGCAATCACGCCGGGCAGACTGTACCCTGGAACTTCCATCCACCACCCTGGGGTGCACAGGAGAAGCACGACTGCCTAAGTGAGGCTGCGCTCTGCGGTTTCCAAAGTCATTGTCTTAACAAGGAATCAACACCAATCTCTTCATATTTAAAACTTAGAATACCCAAAGCTCAGTTTCTTTGTGGTTACTGGTCATGTCCACCTCTATCCCTAATGGGCTGCATTTCATTTCTTAGGCCTAAAGGAAGCTTTAGCACTGAAAAACCCTCCTGAGCTCAATGGACAATAATATTCACAAAAGAAAAACTGCATAGGCCAATCTGAGCCCATGAATAAATAGAGAGCAAGATTAAAATTGCTTTCACTCTCCCCCTTCCCCTTCCTTCAGTCCCTCGGCACCACGGTTTCCCGGATGCAGAGGGCAGAGCTGAAGGCTCTATTTCCCTGCTCCCCCACCGGGAAGCCAGCATTGGGTGCCATCCTTCAGAGAACTCAGGAGCACAGGTGCTTTGGAAGGTGGAGGAGAGAGCCATGTAGCTGGTGCTGTATAAGAAGATGTCATGGAGAATGACCTTATGTGGCTGCTTAGGATAGATTTGAAGACGCATAGGGATGAATAACAAAATGCTCTGATAGAGATCAGCAAGCCCCAAAAGCCCATTGCAACATCATCACCATCATCACCATCACCACCACCACCATCACCATCATCACCACCATCATCACCACCATCA